AAGGGAGGAGGTGGGGAAGGCAAGGATGGAAAATTCTCACACCAAATTGAATAAAGTTAGGAGCCAAGAAAAAAGTCTCCCATTAGGCGGAAAGTCTGAAATTAACTGGGAGCCAGGAAGTGAGACAGAGGGGAGTGGCCTCAATTTAACCTCAGTCTCAAGGCAAATGGGGTCTGAGAATAACCCATCAATGACTCCTCCCACGGGATCACCTAGGAGACAATATCATTTTCCCTATTTAAAAAGGGGGAAAACAAAGGGAAAAATATAAAATAAATAAAAGCAAACTACGCAACTATTGCTGTTATGCAATAGTTATTATTTTTGTGAGCGCTGCCACATAATTGTCACCATACCTCTGTTACACAATTCAACGAGAGAAGGGATGTTTCTTCGCCTATAAATTATTGCTTCTCACCCTTGTGAACCTAACGATATATTCCCAAGCAGGTAACCTGCAAGAGCTTTCACTCTCGAGTCTTAAAAAAATGAATTAAAAAAATCTGAATCCACCTGCTTCGAAAAATTCACTGTCCCAAGAGCAATTTCATGTAGTAAAATGAAGAGTCACCCAGGGGCTTAAAAATAGATTAGATCCACAACGTAAGGGGGCGGGGCTATTAAAAACCAGGAGATGTCGCAGGCGGCTGCTTATCAGCCTGATCCAGCCCCACAGATCTTCCTCTCGAATACCCTTCTCCCCACACGCGTCCCGCTTATCTCCCAGACCTCCGGGACCAACGGCCGCGTATAGCAGCTGCCTTTTCAAGACACTGCGTAGAACTCCTTACCTGCAAGGGCCCGTTGCTCCTATCTGCGTACGCAGCACCCGCCGCTCGATTCCGGATTCGGCGCGCTGTTCCCGGCGTCGCTTTCCCGTTGCTTGATGGGATGAGTAGTTTTCTCGCTCCGAAAAGGTCTGTTGGAACTTACGCCGCCATCGAACCATTTGAACGACGTATCCCAGAAGTCATTTCGCAACTAAACCAAAACACGACAAAAACTCTTCCTTCCGGTTCCCCTCCGCCCAATGTCTTCTGGGAGTTGTAGTATTATTATTATTTTTTACTATCACCCGAGCCCGCGTATCCGACTTCTGTTAACGGTGCAGAGAAAAAAACTGTTGCAGGTTTTGGACGCTTTGTACAGCCTCGCTATCGATATAAGGGTACAACAAATGCTAAAGTTTATTTTCTTTCCTTTTATGCTAGAGTTCGAAGAGTTAATTTAGATTTAGAGTTGCAAAAATGTTTTTTGATGACTGTTTCCATTTGTCCAGAAATTTAGCAATTCGTTTTATCAACCGAGGACTCAGATCTGAAAAATAGAGAGCCACTGTGGTATCGGGATCAAAATTAGCACTGGGACACCCAAATTTAAGTCCATCTGTAGATGGACTCAAGGATAGCTTTGTACAAGTCACTCTTGGATACAGCAGATGGTAATATCTTGTTGATTTGAAAGAGCCAAGTCAAAATGGACCTCCTCAATAATTGGATCAAGAGATTCAGTTACAGACTAGACTTTGAAAATGAAAAACCATCTGGAAGATTTTTTTTTT